AGCCATATTTTAAAACAAAATAAAAAAAAGAGCCGTACGCTCAATTTTGGGAGTAACAGTATGTATATGTATGTACATTAGATATGCATACCACTTTACAAGCAACCAAAAAGAACCTCGCAGTACACCCCTCAGCATTTCAGTATTTTTGTAAGGCATTTCCGAAAAAATTATTTTGGCCTGGGTGATACCTACATTCGGCAATAGTTAAAATACCTTCTTAGAAAAGTTAAATGATTTTTGGTGAGCTTTAATTTATTGACATTCGGGTGGTATGTTGGGGTAATAAAAAGTGGGTACTAGAGGTCAGACAGAGGTCGAACAAAAAAAGAAAAAAATTCTCCCCGAGACAAGAATAACGATATGTCATACTTTAAGATCCGACTGTAAATGCTGCAGATACATATGACGAAAAATGTAAAAAGCGAACCCTGCAAAAATACTTTCCGACTCCTGGGTTTACGGCGAACTTTTTTACCGGTACGGTCTAATATACATATGTACAAGTAAAGGGCAAAATGCTATGCTTCACCTCTAAGTTTTATGTGTGTCAGCATACATAGATATATGTGCACAGATCCATAAATATGGACATACATATGTATGTATATTTGTAAAAGCATGTACATACATACTATAGTAGTTCTTCGAATGTTAAACAAATTCTACGTAAGCGCCCAATCAAGAATCTTGCCGTTCACACTAGTTTTAGATTATACAAAACAAACATTTTGGCATTACGCTAAGTTAAATCCAGTTTCAAGTTTGGTTGATTGTGAAGCCGTAAGTCACACAATCGTATGTATATATGTAGGTATGTATACCATAAGCCGTAGAGCTTAATTAAAATAAGTAGTTCCCATAATCAATGAATTGCATAATTACTAACTACATACATAAATATATAAAGTGTGAAGGCTCATCCGCCTTGTCTTGTCCATTCAATGGTAAAATGGTAAACGTATTGATTTTTTATTTTTTGCGAATTATACATACTTACATACATACTAGTAGCTAACGTATCCGCATGAATTTTTATGGGTATTCACCAAATCGAGCACTCTGCCAAAATAGCAAATTAGCTTAAGCAACAACCACTAATCTTGCTCAATTTGGTGAATACCCCTTGTGTAAAAACTTTCTTTGTCCAAACTGATTACCTGTTAGCCTCGAAATGAAATTTTTTTCTTTAGGATGATGTATTTA